GGGGTGGCGCCTAATCACCTGCATGTGGTTGCACGGTGGTGTTTTACACCTGCTAGCCAACATGCTCAGCCTCTTAATCATCGGCATTCGGCTCGAGCGGGAATTCGGGTTTGGTACGTGATGAGCTCACTTTATCTATATCAGCCTACAAAGACACACATTCGAATATTGATTTTCACAACTTTCAAATAACAACAACTGTTAATTGATAAATCTGAAAGATGATGTTTTTTTTTTCACAGCGCGCATTGGTTTCCTTTACCTTGTCTCGGGATTTGGTGGTAGTTTGCTGTCGGCTCTTTTTATCCAATCGAATATATCGGTTGGTGCTTCGGGTGCCCTTTTCGGGCTCTTGGGAGGAATGCTCTCGGAGCTTATTACTAATTGGTCGATATACGCTAACAAGGTAAGTTTCTAATCAATATATTATAGATTGTTAATTAAGATCTTAGCTTGCAATTATCGTTTCATACCCGTTTTTTTTTTTCTTTTTTCTTTTTTCTTTTTTTTTACTCAGGTGGCAGCTTTATTGACGCTTGTGGTGATTATTTCCATCAACCTTGCGGTTGGAATCCTCCCGCACGTCGACAATTTCGCACACATTGGAGGGTTCTTGTCGGGTTTTCTTCTAGGCTTTGTTTTCTTGATGCGCCCGCAATTTGGATGGGTTAGCCAGAGATATAACCCATCCGAATACCCGTCATCCTCGGCTAGCCCAAAGTTCAAGACGTACCAACGTGTACTTTGGGTGCTCTCGTTTGTTCTCCTCATATTCGGGTATGCGTCTCACACTTTGATTAAGATTATGTTTGGTAAAACTAGTTGATATGCTATCTGATAGCAGATAAGATAAGTTAGTTGATAGTTTATAAGTGAATTTCGAGCTTATAGTTGATAGCTTATGGTTTATTGCTGAAAAGCTAGAATGTTTAGTAAAATTAGCTGATAAGCGGACTTATTTGAAAAACTATCAAAAGAAGGGACTTATTTGAAAATTTATCAAAATAAACTTATGAGATAAAAGCTCAAGCTTTTCAGGAATTCTATAAGCTATAAGCTATAGTTTATGGTTTTTACCAAACGTAAGTATGTTGGAAAAGTACAAATATATAGAATGCTTTCAAGATTTACCTTCAGTAAATGAAGAGTCTTAGTTACAAAATGCATATTTATTTGGGTTACAAAAGTGAAAGAATGAAAGAAGTTCTAATAGATAAAGCAAGGGGAATATATATTAATATTGTTGTTTTTTCTCGAAAACGATAGACTTGTATTAATTTACACTGAAATTTACAGACTAAGAACTAAGCTAACTAAGCACAAATACAAACTATATATACAAAAAAACTATCTAAATCCCACACGGAAAATAGAACACTCCAATAATGAAGACTAAATAACCATAAAAAACGAACACAAACAAAAAATACACACTAATCTTTTTAGTCTTTGTAATAATGTCTCAAAAATCGGGCCCTCGTAGGTTAACCACCGGACTTGTCTTGCTTCTACGTGGGGAGGACCTAAACGACCATTGCCCGTGGTGCCATTATTTAAGCTGCGTCCCGACTTCACGGTGGAGCTGCAACACGCAGCCCGTCTCCTGTCAGGTCAACAAAATAAAATAAAATTACCAAATATTTTCCCTTTTTTTCTCATGCACTAAGTTTCTCAACTCGCCTAATTTATTATTTCGCGCACGTTTGCATTTTTGTGTTACGATTTTGCAGGCAGAGCAAACGGGGAGCCAATACACTATAACGTGCTCTAACAGCACCAAGAGCCGGTCATATTATTCGCTCGTTAGCCTGACCACTAGGCAGATTCAGGGATTGTGTCTAGAGCTATGTCGATAGGCGCTATAGTTAGCTAATTATGGGGTTTTTTTAGGGGGGAAGAAGAAGCATATTGAAGATGGGATATTGTGGATTGTCTTGAAGAGTAGTTAGATTGATTTTTTTTTTTTTTTTTTT